GGCCTGCTATCAGTTGATAAGATCAAATGAGGTAGAATCGTCATAGGTATCAGCGCTTTCGGACGGGCAACACTCAGTTTATATATGCTTCATCTACGGTTTTAGCGATCGAATTGACCAAGGTTCAAATCATTGAGAATCACTGTCCAGATTGAGATTGCGCATCGCAATCCAATCATGTAATATGCAATTAAACTGGTCCTCCAAGCGAAAGTCGATCATAATTTGGCTTAAGTTGGAATTCAGACTGGTTAGCACGTACGCAGGCTAAGCTTATCTCTGCACTTCAACATAATATTCTTTCTGATACGAGGCGTTCAGTTGTGGATGTTAAAGCTCTAGTTGGGAATGTGAGGAAGGATGGGAAATGCGGTCACAAAATTGTCTAAATCAAAGGAATGAAAATACTTCATAGTCCGTTTGATTAGGACTATATCCATGTGGATGGATTGCTGGAATAATGGTATTAAGGACTGTCAAATCATGAATTGAATCCTCGATATTTCGGCCATAGCAAACTTGCAAGATGCAGCTAATTTTCCAGGAACTCACATTCGCAATTAGATATACCTGAGTTGCAGTTAAGAATATAACACACTCGTAACGGATTGCGTTCTGGTATTTTAGAGCAAAACTAGCGTTGTGTGGAATTGTATTGCGGATACGTTTGATAGTGAAGTAAGAGCTTCTTTGCTGGTTGCTTATCTAAATGTACACATGGTAACAGCACTGTTTATGACATTAAGTAAGTTAGACTTTGAGATCTTAAAGATTCCGGTGCATCTTACAGCTAAATATGGATGAAAGGAAGTAATCAACGAAGTTGTAGACACAAAAATATTCCCTTTTCTACCTACGATCCTCTTGATCTGGATGCTCTCTTGGAGAATAAGATCCCAGATTGGCCTAGTAAAACGGAGCTGGTTTATAGAGATGTTCATCAAAATGGCATATGGTTTAGTGTTTGCGTGTGAAATATTAAAAGTGTCCTGTCAGGCAAACCTATGAATACTAATTAAGAGCTAGATTTCCTAACTAGAAAGTGCTGTAGTGGTGTTTGGAAAATGTAGTGGCACTCGACCTATCCGCATTTAATAAAAGGTAAGAAACAACACAGGGAACAAGTTGGTTTATTCGCGACGCCCACATTCATTTAATCCTTTAGAATTAGAGCCTCTCCTTATTGTGTGGTGCCGGTAACAATCAGTGAGCGTATGCTTGTTATAGGATACCAGAAAACGGTCATTATGGTTGCTTACTGGAAATAATATGGCGCGGTTGGCTCTTTAGTACTATGAGCATCAATTACGCACACGGTTCAGCGATAACGGAAATAGCACTTTCGCCAATTTGCCAATATTTTAATATCAATCAAAGGTGCAAAGAGAGAATACGAAGCGACGTTTAGTAATAATCGTATTTTATAGGAGCCCAATTTGAAAGAATATGGGCAGACGGCTATGGCATTTCGGAAAGTACACAGAACGACCGAGTAACAATTTTGGGACTGGTCTAAAAGAACAGAGCTCTGAATTTCCTGACACGTACTAATAAAATTAAGTTAGATTACTATAAATCGGTAGTTTCGGACGCCAATGCTTGCATTTCGTGACCTAAGGCGCTCTAAACTTGAGTACTGACTTCGCTGATAGCAAAATCTATTTTTAAACCACTCGTGAACAGTTTCGATCAGTTTATTTGTAGCTGGCTGGCGTCTATTTATTTCTTCAATTATTATCCCATGCAAGCTTGTTGCGCCGAACAAAGTAGTGTTCAGCACGCTTGGCATGCAAGTGTTAGATGCTTGGTATACAAGAGTAGCATGCAAATAGTTCCTTCAGTCGAATGGATAACTACCTATCTGTGACAGATATAGGGGATAAACCCATACAATGAATATATCCAGCAGGGTTTCTACTGCTTTTGAACATACTATATTATCGGAGTTAACTTTGAATTGTCCAGTGGTCTACATTGTACAGAAACATCTCATCTGTTGCGTCTGAACGGCTAGACGTAGTGGGACCCGCAGAGACATGGCTGCGTGCAGAGTTATACACCCAAGAACTTGAACTCAACGGTTACTAGTGCTTTCGATGCTATAGACGAAGGAATACCCACGGCGGTGTCTTACTTTACATCCGGTATTCCCTGCGTGGGAGACTTGTGAGCACCTACCAAAGTGACGATGGCCTGTGTGAGCTACTGTGGTGCTCCATCCTCCTCAGGCGCGGAGAACTGCTTGTGGGCGCAGTTTATCGCAGTCCCCTGAGTCGTTGTTTGGATTGGCTGCCCACTCTTCGGACCCACATGAGTCGTCCACACTTTCTGCTTATGGGCGATTTTAACTGTCCTCGAATACAATGGCCTGGTGTGCATTTGATGCCTGGACATAGTGAGGTTGAAGCAAATTTCGTGGATTTGTGACTTGAAACTGGTGCATCGCAACACAATGCTAGCCAACACGCATAACGGCATGTTCAACCCCGTCCTGTCTCGACCTAATGTTAACGAGCTACGAACAACGAGTGCGTAACGTTAGGGTCCTGGAGACCCTGGCTACAAGCGACCCATACGTGTTCATAGCTGATATGGAATTATCTTTGCCGTGTTCAGGTCCGCTGGAACCAGCCCCCAACTACTGGAAAACGTACTTCTAAGGTCTAGCTCAAACCGCTAGCCAACTGTATTGGTTTCTGCCACAAGCTGCATCTATGGAAGAATGTTGGATATTTATAAAAGAGAGATTGACATAATTGTGTTCCCAATTTGTGCCATTGAAATGTCAAAACATTTAACCGATTATGCCTCATTGGTTTGACAAGGAGTATGGAAACCTGGCTCGGAGGCGGCGCAGACTGTTGGACTAATTCCTTCTCTCTGGCTCTATCAATGATTACGGAGGGTATAAATGTCAGCGGAACATCTGCAAGGGTGTAAAAAGAATAAACGCCGACATTTCGAAGAGCAGCTCGCAGTAGCCACGAAGACCGCCTCAAAGAGAATCTTTGTACACGTGAAGCGACGCCTGAGGCCGGCAGGTGATGTGCCAGTGCTGGATGGCCCTGTATGAACAATCCTAACCTCCAGCAGTGAGGGCGCGTCCGCGTTGGCGGCGCACTTCACTTCCGTATTTGCGAATAACCAGTTGTCTGTTCCGAGTTCGATGTGTACCACTTTTACCGAGCTCGATATTCTGCATTGCGGTGTTGAAGACATAGGTCAACTACTCGCCCAACTTTGCGGCACCAAACCTGCCGGACCTGATAAGCTTCACCCACTAGTTCTCAGGTCACTTTCGACCATCCTCTCTCATGTCGTGCCTGACCTTTTCAACAGGGCACTGTCCGAAGGTTCGATGCCTATTGATTGGAAGTGTTCGGTGATGAAGCATATTCCGAAAGGCGGCGACTCTAGCAAAGTAGACAACTAAAGGCCAATTTGTCTGACATCTATTTTGGCAAAGGTTGCTGATAAAATCGTGAAAAAGGGATTGCTGCAATTGCTGCAGTTGCTGCAGTCAAACGTGGTCCTGACGCACGCACTGCACGGTTTTATGCAAGGCCGCTCATGTATTACGAACATGCTTGTGACGAGGCATGAGTGGCTGAAGGCAATAATCAAGGGGAAATCCGTCGACCTGATATGTATCGATTTCAGTAAAGCGTTCGACAAGATCATCCATGAGGTTCTCCTTCACAAACTCAGAATTTGTGGTGTCGGTGGCTCACTGCACCGGTGGATCCGCGACTTTCTTGTTGGACAAAATTGGAGTGTACAGATCTACGACCATCTAACCGGGTGGTACCCCTCTACAAGTGACGTGCCTCAAGACGCTGTGTTCTGGCACACTCTGCTCCTGATCCACATCAACGATCTACCGCAGCTTCTCCGGTCGCCGTGTGCATTGTTTGCAGACGACATGAGTAGCTGGAGAGAAATTGACGCTCCCGTTGTCTGTGGCCTACTTCAGCAAGATCCCAACCGCCTATCCACACGGTCTATAGAAGTCATTCTTCAGGTCAACCCAAACAATCTGTATTTATGAGCTTAGAGAATGGTGTTGACGGCCGAACCTACACCCTTGACGGCCAACCGTTATATCCCACACCTTTCGTGAAGGACCTATGTGTACTCTCACGCTAGGATTTGAAGTACGTGGACAAAACGAACAGGCTATATCGTAACGGACTGCGCATGCTTTGGGCGCTCAAACGTAGCTTCGTCACATGGTCTGAATAGGTTGCCCCTCGCCTCTTCTCTTCCATCATTAGACCAATGCTAGAGTACGGTTCGCCCGCCTACTTTTCGATTACCCGAGGCGAGGTACAAAAGATCGATTGGGCCCAACACGTTGCTACCAGGCTCATCCCGAGTTTACGTGGCTTCAGGTATGAAGACCGGTGCGAGAAACTAGGATTCTACACCTTGTCCTACCGCCGGATGCGAGTCCACTACATTAATACCTACTGTATGTTGCTCCTCGGTGACTTCCCCATGCTGAGGCCAATGCTGAACTTATAAGGGCAATGCAGCACACGCGAACACAGATACAAACTTGTCGTGCCGGATGTGAAATGTGTTCCCCACCCACTGTGCTTCGAACGGAGAGTGGTAAACATTTGGATCAGTTTATCTTAACATGTGATTGAGGCAACATCTGTGCAACAGCTCAAATCGTTGTTAGATTTGTATTTTGCCACTATTCGATTCAGAGAACGATTGCACACTTACGATGACATATCACATTTGTGAATCCGGAAATATCGTAAGTCAGATATTTTAAATGTTACAGGAGAACGACAACAATGTTCCCGGTTGGCAACTTTTCTAACGTTTCCACTATATTTCGAAAGAGTTTTACACAATTCATTTCTACTTGCTCTATAATACAGTATTCAATATTCAGTATTCTTTCAGCACTCAGATATATAGCTCCAAACAATTAAATACTTTTACTGCCAGCTCTTCAACATCTTTTTCAGGCACTGACGACGCTTATGACCTTCATTTGCGGATCGATTAGTATTATCTCATGTGGACGGCTTGGCAAACACACACTCGCCACCGTAGGCTTGGCGAACTCAGTGTTCAATGTCACTGGTCTGGTGGTTATAACCGGTTTATTGACTGCCGCCGATACAATTTTTTCTCAGGTTAGATTCCATGAGTTGTGTCAATGTTTGTCGGTTTCAAACGAATTATCGAATAATGTCTGCTATTTCATTTATAATATACTCGAGCTGTGAGACCTACCTCGATTTTCTAGTCCTGAAGCATTCAGTCTAAATGTGAACGTTGTGTTATTGGTGAATGCTTTTGGAAAGCGGAGTAAATACTTTCCAGAAATGTGAACTTATCGTATGCATTCCGCTTAGAAGCTAAAGGTAGGCAACTTCGTGCATTTGAACGAAACGTATTCCCACTGTAATATAAAACATTTCCTTCCTTCAGTGTTCATTTCACTATTGGTTAGCTTTTAATAAAATGTGGCACAATGACTAAGAAACCAAACCTTTAGCGAATTATGTCTTTTAGTTTTCTTGTGACCAGTATAACCAATAACCCCAACAAATTCTCATCAGTTAGTTATCGTCTTCTTGGTAATGAAATGGGATCGTAGTCATCACAATGGTCTAAGTCCTTCAGATCTAGTATGCGTCTCCGTAAAAGGATAATTCTTAGTTCATAGATATACAAGCTACTTAGCTTGTTTTCAGCACAATGATTTCATCATATTATGGCTGCATAAAATCTAATCTACTTGGGATGTTCACTTACAGTTCGCGGCGTATAGGCCATACAAGTCACTTAGGTACTAAAATAATTCCAGTTGATTTCAACTCCAAAATCCTCAAATTTTGTGTGCGATTCCACTCGAGTAGTGGAGAGTTGTTCGGGTACGTTTTCGAAACATTTGTTTAACCATTAATTTAGAACAGGGATATTTTGTTCGTGCAATTTCGAATTTTATATATCCAGGAGGGCATACAAAACATGTAGCATGCCTAAACGAATGCATTATACTAGGATTAATTTGTCACGCATTGTGAGGGAACCGTGACTGATTAACATATAGAATAACTTAACGCAATAAGAACCAATACCCATCTTTCTAATAATACTGCCTAAGGCTTACGATGCTCTTTATGGTGCAAATTTCCTTTCCAGACCTACGGGAGTAATAAAAAATACTTGATGGGCATTCAGCTGCAGAGAGGTAAGGAAAAGCACATACAGCCGTAATAATTTGGAAAGACCGCAATTATTAAAATCGAGTTTTTCCTCTCCGATGACATGTTCTTTCTCAAACGGGATGATGCTATGACACAAACAAGACCTCAAAGAAAGTACTGAAAGTTCCAAGAGCAGTTAAGTCGTTATTTTAGATCACCCCATTTAGTGCTAATCGTGTCTTTAATATCAAAGATGGCGCAGCTCTGTTTCGTCAAACTGAACATTGACAACGCTATATTTCGCTTTGCTTTATCTGCATTCAAATTGTTCTCGATGCCGAGTAATCAAATTGCCCTTTGCTCTTTCAGCCATCGTCATAATCACCTTCTGCTGCATCCCCTGCATTTCGCTGCAATTGCTTGCGGAACCCGCGTTTCTGCTGTTACATCAAAATCCACAAACCGCAAAGTGCGCATTTACATGCTTTTGCTTTCCTGTTAATGCCTTGTCTTTTACGTGGTTAGAACACAGTAAGGGCAAAATTCTTTCGAGATTCTCCGAGTTCCACTCTTATGTTATAACATCTATACATGATGGGCCCAAATCAGGTCGAAATCATGCGGTCCTGGATTGCAGTTTTGGAAGAAAGCAACAATGATACCATTCAGAACCCAATTAGGTTGAGAATGTCAAATGAGGATGTGATTAAAGTTGCTAATGTTTGTCAGAGCGTTATCAATTTAAAATGACCGATTTTTCATTCCCTTTGGTATTAAAGCTGTTAAATTATTTAGGCCCGTTAATATGTCAGAGTCAGATGGGGTGCGGTTAGCAGCTCCTGCCTTAAAGCAGAATTCGGTGTACATAAATTCTTCAGTGAAGACTGTGAACCCACCGAAAATTAATGCGACATGATTTGGACATATTTTGATGAGTTACCTGGAGACGGCTTTGCTATCGTCGTATGATGCGTTGGCGGTTAATTGAATAATTGCAGCTTGCGCCAATGCACCCTTATTAGGATGGATTTCCTTCGAGGCAGCGTTGAACAATGCAGCGTTTATTGTGCTTTAAAAGTAAATGGGTAATGAGTGCTACACGAAACTTGATAGCGAGGTATATGTCGGTCAACCGGGCAAAGGAAATTTTTGAAACAATGGATGACGGTTATGACATGGAGGACACGAACCTTCAGGACTGCGGGTAGCATGTCCAACAATTACACACACTACGACGGCCACTACACTATGCAACAAATTTAGCGAACGCTTCTCGATGAATATATTTATCTGTTGGGCATAATGATACGTTTAGGATAGCATCATCCGATTCCTGCAGTGCAATTCTAGGTGTTGTTCACAAAATGTACGTGAAATTTTAATGAACGGACATGTCTTCTGCGAACAAATTCCATAGACGACTTATTTGTCTGAAACGTGTAACTTGACATCAAGGCACAAAACATATTTTAATAAAATCACATAAATCATTGTCTACGGGTCACAGTATATATATTACACCGAGGTCGATAACAAGGAAGAGGCGAACATGTGCATCAATGCAATAAGACATGTTAGTTTTAATCGCAAATCTCGAAACTTAGAGTTTTCGATCTCAAGAATCTCGCTGTATATTTACAGGTTAATGTCTTCAATTATTTGCGCTAAAATGAAATATGTGTTTTTCGATAACCCGTTGAAAATCGAACAGCACAAAGTGTTACTGGATGTCGGATTTACCACTTGAACTATTACCGTCCCGGGTTAATAAGATGACCTACAGCAGTTCAGACAAAAGCGTGATGAAAATATTGGGATGTGAGTTAGGCTTCAATCTAAAGCAAAGCTGTTGCTTTGAGGACAGTTTGGAGGCTCCAGGGTTGCATGTGTTGCATATGTGTGCGATCATTAGCACCACCGAAAACCGATGACCGGTTTACATGCGATCAGTGAGATGAGCTTCATTTCTCTGAAGCCGTTGCAATATCCGTGGAATAAGTTAAGAATTCCACTTATAATAACAAGCCAGAGAACGTACGTTATATCATGGGCAACAGAATACGAGTTGAATAATTGGTTGGTTAACTGTCTTTCGGAAACATGTCAGTTGTTTCCGATTCTACAATGCAAAGAACGGTGTTCGTAAACGTGATAAAAATTTAATTCAGACATGTTCGTATAACTTAGCGAATTCCATGATACATGGTTTCTAGAGAGAAATTGCCCTCTTCATTTGATTAATTAGTTCGTGTCAAGTGCTCGCATCTTCTCTGCGCCGTTATTTGTGCACATTTATTGGATTGCATCACCCGAGTGGCGGTGTGTAAAGATTAGCGGAAGTGAAGGTTTGCAAATTGTATGTAAAGAAGCATTATTGATAGGGGCTGATCCACAGTAGTTTAAATGCTGTGCCGTAAACACTCTCGCCGTTTGCTAGTTTCGGCTGTTTGTTTTCACCACCCGCTTTCTTACGGAGTTCCCCCAAACGCATTCACTATTCACTCGGTGAGGTCAATACGAAACATTTGTCCTCCGTGGGATTGAAAATACTTCATGGGAATTCTCTGCATTAGTAGTTGCCATCTGCCCAGCTACGGATTACCAAGTTTGAAATATTGCATTCTACTATTCGCGTTTAGATACACACATACCCAAAGTTATTCGAATCATGTTATCTTGATTGGTTCTGTCCACAAGCCTACCAATTAGGTAGAGATTAGCTAAGGTGCAGGTTTGGAATCGAACTGATCCACTCACTCACATTGGTCAGCACGTGTAACTGGTGATGCAACAGAATTTTACCAGGGGTATTGCGGTAGAAGGCAACGATGAAATGGATCAGCATGTAAGTGCTTTTATGCCTCGATGGTCAGATACAAAACAGATGTATACTTTGAGGCAGCATATGACGCGGTATTCGGAGAAATCTTATAATTTCCCACAGTAGGTAGGTTCGTCACCTTTTTATTTCCTCTATACTCAATAAAATTAGAAAACCTTCACAAAATTGCTCTTAACATACCCGAATTTTAATTGGTTACAAAATACTGTATGATCTGTCTTTTTGTGAGCCCAAATTTTATGTGATTTAATATGGAAATAACGTAATTGATTGCTCCCAGTTATGCTGAATGAACCTATATTCGATAAAAGAAATGAGGTTCAAATTCATGATGGTCGTTTCACAGATGAGCAATCTAACCGATAAGAATTCATAAATCTAGCAAGCAGAATGAAGCAATGCGTAATATTGAGTAGAGACAACCGGAAGTATCCTTTCATGGCACACGAACACTGGATAATTGAATCTCGATCTTTGGAATTTGGTAGTCAAATTCTGGCTACTTAAGTTAGCTGAGACCTATTGTGATGACAGCAATAGGCGTCCTCTACTTGGTGGTGACGGAATCCATGGTTGATATATACCAAAGCACAGCAAACGGGAATCTAGTTACTTGTGAGTGTATGCATACAGGTAGCTCTATTTCCTGATTCTTTACTTAATTTCAAAGATGAGAGGCCAAATGTCCGACGGACTCAGCAAGTGTAACAACAAAAATGCCAACTTTGCTTAACCGGAACTAGATCTCATGGTTATACGAAGGAGGAACATTAGCATACAATGAACAAGACAGCTATGCAAAGTGTTTGGTATTTTTGGTATTAAAGTTCCCAGTATTTAAGTTCTCTATTCTCCTATACACGACTATGGTGACTGATAGATTACAATTACAAATGACTTCGAATCGTCTATCGTTGTTTTGTCTAATGTAGGAGATTTGTAGACCATTTAATAAGTTCGGTGTTGTACATTAGCAAATCTGGATATAATGCTCAGATTTGTGTTGTCAAATATTTGATGACGTGTATAAGCAATGCTCTCTGCTTGACGGTGGATTTCTTCTTGGTTCTTCTAGAGACGCAGCGGATTACATTCTCTGTGCTTTGCCTGGACTGTGGGTAAATTTGGGTTGCACATGACACTGATTTTTCAACGGTTTCAGTTCGTGGCAATTGAGCAATGTTTGACCAAGTACCTACAAGCACAGGTGAGGCTCGGTGTACCGCGCAACAATTAAACTGATGTAGCAGTTGACATAAACTATTGAATTGACTTTCCGGTTAACTTCTTCCACTCACCTAAAAATATCTCATTAGTCATTTGCACTCTCCGAGTAGGAGGACTTTAGATCCTCCGTGTGCCTAAGCAAACGAACTATATAAAGACTTCAGTCGCAAATGCCGATCGATCCTTCACATGGGCGTTGGTTCTCTTTTTGTTGTAGAACACAGTGTATCCACCTCTATGGATAGGAATCATTGGAAATTGTTTGAACGCGTTCCTTCATTACTTGCTGCTCTACGTGTTAAAAGTTGGTGTCCGGTAAGCTGCGTTCCGTTTTCACCCTCTCGAAACGTACATGGCTGCGCCCTTTTACTCACCTAACTGTTAGTGAGGCGGACATGTACATCCACAAATTTCCTGCCTAATTGTACATTACCGCATTTTCAACTGACGATCATATGATTCGATATAGTCGAATTCTATAAAGGGGTCCGAATGTCCCGGTATTTTGTTTGGAACTATTTAAACGGGCGAGGTTGACAGGATTATTATGATTAACATCAGAACGCGTGTTTTTGAGTGTAGATGTTGCAATTTCCGCACCCGCGAAAGCAACATCGACGAAATGAGGTGCGACGCTCACCTGCTCGAAAGCCAGTGTAAATAAGATGAACTATCAATTAGAGGATTACCGAATTATTATACAACCTACTTGGAACAGGACTAATTTATGTAACATTTTAGAGATTATGGAACAATGGAACAATGGATTTATACGGGTCAAAATGTTAAAGGTTTTAAGGTCCCGTAGGTGCGTTATAGTGGATCATCGAAATATTAAAATAATTGTTAGAAAAATTGGGCTTAAACCAGTGAACGCATTGAGGTAAACATAGTATAAACTGTAAATCCAAGTTAAATCTATAACGAATGACGGCAAATGGGACGTTGTTTTTTGGTTCTTGACGCAGCCGTACTTCGGAAAGTTTACTCAGTAAGCCTTGAGCGGTGGTACACATATAGGAATGCCACTCGGTTATCAACAGCTGTTGATTAGGAAAACATGTGTGATGTGAATTTGTGCCGACAGATGAGAGGCTAGCATTGACACATCTGATTCGGAATGCAATCTGTTTTTGTCTGGCTTGCACCCGCTGTATGTAGTCCATCAACAGCCTTCTCGGTAGACATGGGTCTTAGTGCACGGCTTTTTAAATCGCTTTTGTGGTTATATTGAGCTGCGAGTGGTGTCGATTATGCAAGAACAGCGAGTGGCTGCTGCTCTCTAACTGCTGTCTTCAGTCGTAGTTTCAAAGGATGTTTGTTGCATAGTAACTGCCAGCCACCGAGTAACTTCACAGCCATTAGTTTCAATATCCTAGGGCCTCTGTCTCTGTGGTTTGGCGACACGTGTAACCGTATAATCGACTGAGGTTTGATGTCGTCCACGCAGAGAGCTTCACGGATGTAACGCCAGTCTTCCAGGGAATGAGTGTGGGATTCTTCCTTGCTGATTGTCCATAGATCGGGCGCGTCATGAGCAAGCAGAAGTCTTTTGCTACTCTCCGTGTGGTGGTCGTTTGCATTATTTTTGTCCCGCTGGCGTTCGCTCCATGTCACATCCGGAGACATGCGTATCCCACTGTTTTCAGTCTGCAAGCGGTTTGCCGACGAAAACAACATCTTACATATTTACTAGGAATATCCACTTGAACATTACTTACTGACTTGTGAAAGTGTACCTTTACTGGGCTGTACCCATATGACTGAGCAATCTGCCCTTGATAAGCCCGACTGCCATCTTTTCTGGTAACAGTAATATAGTTGGCGTCGCATGAAGACACAAATGGGAAAGTAGTTTAGGAAAAATGGAAGTGAATGACAGTAATAAAGATGGGGAACGAGCGGAACAGACGGCCTGATAAAAGCACTCTGCACAAAGACGTCCAAACCAGCACGTGCTGGATAATATTACAGAAACACAGGTCTTAGGGTGTTGCTAATTATGAGCATTAATTGTTTTCCCAATCTGAATGTTAGTAACCAAAAATTCCTGTGTCCTACTTAATGAAGTAAAATTTAGGTGAGTGCGAAGTGATATAGAAAAACTGTAAGTTTATTAACTGAATATGGTGCATGCGTGACGTCCATTTCGCGAACTATACCTCCCATTCGAATATGACCATGAAATGACCGACTGATGGACCAAAGACATGAATTGGTAAAAGCTGGAGTTTAGCATACAAAGCCAGTTGCTCAAATGAAGAATTTCCTCAACTCTTTCCATACTAACGAAATTGCATACAAAAATCTTCCGATGTATCTAAGGTAGATTAAGCAAGTCATTATAATTATGAGCCGCCTTACTGCCAAACGGCGCTTGGTAATCTCATAGAGTTTTCTAGCGACTTAGTCATTCTTCATACAATCAAGAAACATCGTTGGATGGGCAAAAATTGTTCGTACGGTTCGTTACAGCACGTGTGAATATTATATCCAGGGAAGGTGGCTTTCAGCCAACAGGTGTAAGATGACCTATCGACTTGAAATATATGTGTGAATCAAGTGCCTTCTTCCGCCCGCATACACACATTCAAGTATATTCATACTACTTTACGAAGTCAGACATACTTCCTGCTACTGGGCACGTCGCGACAAGTTTACCCAGCCGACAAATTAAATGTTGGAGTTATGCTCCCAATATGTGAATTTGTGTATTACTTAACAGATACAGTTATGGTTATCATCATCTTAATTGATTAGGGGCAACTGAGTTCACTAATGCACACTCTAAATTTGATTGAACGTTTGGATAAGTCGATAGTGATTCGTGCGTGATCGTTCATTTCTAATTTCCCGGATTACTTTTGACATTAGTCTTAAGGTAGTTGGAAGGCATCATCTGCGAATAAAATTTCAACGTGTAGAAGCACCAACGAAATATAAACAAAAGCTGAATGACGGTGAAAAATATAAACTACAGGAATTACGCCTCGATTGTCCGGATAGATTTAACGAAAAACACGGTACAGAGCAAATCAAATGCAAGTGTAGAGACGGGCACTTCTTTGCATATGACACACCCATAGTTTACTATTTGTTTATGTTTCATTTAATATTAAAATTTTAATTTCGTTAGTATAAATTGTAAATGCTAATTTTGCAAGCTTTATTTCTAGCGGATCAGCTTTCTCTCAAGTGATCACACACGTGTTCCAATGCGCATGTCTTGTGGTATACGTCATCGTAAAAGAGAAGAAGGGCAGTACCTGGACAGGTTAGTAAGCTTGCACAAACTGTGAGATTGCAGTAATATGAATATCAACCTTCCATAGATTTTAGGTTCAATCACTTGAATCCCCATTCGTGTCTAATTCGATTGTTTTGTTCAATGGTGACTACCGTGAAATTATCTTTACCTCCAGCAAAATCGCAAAGTAACTAGGACAAATATGATACATGGAGCGCAGTGTTTGCTACGCTGAATATGGTCAATGATACAGTCCAATGAGCCTAAATGCAAAAATGAGCGATGACTTTCATTAAATTGCCTCAAAAACTGAATACCCAAAACTTGTGACCTGACTCAGTTGAAACATTACATCATCCGTTTTGAACTGCTGCCGACCACTTTATTGGGAATATTATATTTTTACCCGAATTCCAGTAACAGCCGTGTGATATATAAATCCTTATTATTACTAACGACCATAGCGTAGATATATTGCAGACAACTTCTAGTTGTGTGAAATCAACACAGCATGACAATCATGGGGATGAAGTGGGAAAGAGCTTTTCCTTACGAAACTGATAGACTATGGTCGTGAGAATATGATCAGGTTAGATTATAATTCTATTTGTGTTGAATAGTTACCATAGTCTGGAAATGTTTCTGTTTAAGTGAGTTTACGCATCGTCTATTCTACTGTCCTCTTAACGTCAGTTGCTTACACAGCTGCGCGTTTCACCGTGGTTGGTAAATTTGTCCACATACCCTGGGGTTACAAAGTCCTATTGGCTAAATTTCATCGGTTCCCATGACTATAGAAAAACATTCTGAAAGCAAGCGCTTATGTGCAAACACATTGAGCCAAAATGGCCCTTTGACAGTGAATCAAGCTGCGTCTAACCAAACTAATTAACTGAATTTCTTGTTAATCATGTAGGGTACTTGCTGTCTGCGTGTTGCTTAACATTGTGTGAATTATTCGCGACAATCATTGTATTATCCTAGCGTCAAACTGCTTTGGTGTTTGTCACTTTATGTCACTGCGTCTGCATGCATCCTGTCAACAATAGCATTTACGGAGTGGAAATTAATTAAATGCTTTTTGCTATGCTCATCTATTGTAAAGCATTCTGTTATCCGTCGTATATTTAAAGAACGAGAGGGATTTGGAAACCTCATTTTTCTGGGATTTGTATAGCTCCCTCTCAAAGTTCAAATAATGTGTGGAAAATATAATCTGTTTGCAAGCAACCTTCTACTGTGTATTGTAAGTCAAGTCACAATAGGCTTTATGACTGAGAACATTACAAATTTTCACACTAGCACCGCGGGTGTAATATAACACTGACATAAAATCCCAGTCAATATGCAAGCAAATATATATGCATGTGGGTAAATCAAGTAAGCGATTACGTGTGGCTTTGATACGTTTCTCGAAGTGAAAAATAAGTGAGATATAAAATAGGTCACATAGAGTTATGGGAAAATGTGGAAAAAATCGAACTCATAATTTGGAGACGTAGTTGAGATGGATATTTTGATAAATATTCTTGTATAGTGAAAAGGATCATTTAAAAATATAATGCAAAGATTTACTTGCAGCAAAATGATTTGTAATAATGAAAACAAAAACGAATCTTCTAGGTAATCCATTGCACTTGGAAATGAGCATAGTGGAACGCAGAACCTATGTGAAGTTATTCGTAGAAACATGGAAAATTATAGATAAGCCATACAAACTTTGCAAATGCAGTTGGTAACGGATCTAGATATTAGAGAGCGGATTACCGAAAGCATTTTGAGTATAAATGCATTGGATGTTAAACTTCCCACATTGCGGAGCGTTCCGCTAACGTTGCTCGATCGGAGTAGGTATCGGATAAAATCGAACTATGTACTTAGCATAGATGAACTAAACATGATGTGGCCTCGCAGAGTTTTGGGCTAAGAAGTATTTCTCCAAGTCGTACGTTTTACCTTGCGCAAAATATGGGAAGTTACTCGCGGCATTTAGAACCATTGATAATAAGAGATCGGGAAAGCGACCACCGATGAATTTTATGAAACTTGCTTTGGAGGTGTAAGTCTAATGGCCAACATGGACATTGGGTCTCTTCACAGTCTCGGGAACTTTTCGATGCTCGCCGGCATATTCCGCCTGGAAGCGAACACAATGAAACTCGCAAATAGCTCCGGGCAAAACTCCGTGCTAGCCTGAAAAGAGACCGCGAATCCTGGTGGTCTCATCGTGCATCAGATATGGAAATGGCCGTTGCCCTTGGTAACCATCGTAAGTTGTTCCGGCTGATACGGGAATCGGGCAGCAGAAGACTTGGTGTTAGTGAAACTATACGTGACGAGATTGGACAGCCTATCCACAACTTGACAAAACGCTTGGAGCGTTGGGCTGAGCAGTTTGAAAAGCAATTTAATCAGTCGGAATTGTTAGATTTCTCGCCGGCCACTAATCGCCGCGCTCCCTGGGCTGTCCCTTTGGATCCACCCTCTCGCTCAGAAGTCGAACGTGAGATCGCACTGTTGAAGTTAATTAAAGCTGCGCAACCAGATGATCTACATACAGCCCTCTTCAAATGCGGGGGACCTGTTTTTGTGGATGATTTATACTAGTTACTGATGAAACTGTGGGAGCAGTAAACTGCCCCAACCGACTGCAGTCGCTCCGTCATAGTCCTAATTTTCAAGGGAGGCTAACGATCGGAATGCTGCAGCCATAGAGGAATCAGTCTGATCTCCATCGCCTCCAAATTGCTTGCCACTGGCATCATTCACAGATTGACTAGCACGCGTGAAAGTCTAATTCGTGAAGAGCAAACCGGGTTTCGTCCAGTCCGTGGCTGCATTGTTCACAACTTCACTTTGCGTCAGTTGTTGGAGCACCGTCACATATATTGGCGGCCCACCGTTGTCGTTTTCCTGGATATCAAAGTTGCATTCGATTCGGTGGATAGACTTGCACTTCGGGACTGTCTACTCAGGAAAGGTGTACCTGAGAAATATTAAATATTATCCGACCATTATACGCGCGAAATTCAACCAGAGTGTTGGCTTACGACAAGCTGTCGTCGCCCTTTAATATCCACAGCTTTGTGGGACAAGGATGCCCGTTGTCACTTTTCCTCTTCAACTTCGCTATTGACGAAGTCATGGAAATAGCTTTCAAAGGACACGACTTAGAAGGTGGGAATCTGCTCCCTGGAGAACGATTTCTTGTTTTGGGGTATGCGGACGACATTGCCATAATCTGTGACAGCTCCCAAACTTGCAAAACGGCACTGGACAGCACAGCACTGGCTGACAGCCGCTTCGGGCTTTGTTTTGCACCATCGAAGCCCAAAGCCTTCCTCCAAGATTGGTCTGGACCGCCTCCTTCGCTGATCCTTGATGGGATCAGCTAGAAGTCGCACAAAATTCAACTACCTGGGAAAATGTATCAGCGCCCGTGGGATTGAAGGTGAGATCAGGAACCGTAGAGTAAAAGCTTGAGGCGCCTTTGCTAATCTTCGCCACTTATTGCGCCAGCGCAACATCAACCTCGCCTTGAAGTGTAGTGTGTACAATGCAGCGGTACCTTCGACCCTACTGTACGTTTGTAAATCCTGGCCCCTTAGATCAGCGGACATAAAGAGACTAGTTACGTTCGACCAACGGTGCCTTCGCAATTTAGCTCACATCTGGTGGGAACACCGCGTGAGCAACGAGCGTGTTCGGCGCCTTGTTTATGGCACAGGAAAAGGAAATGAACCGCTCAGCACCGTTATTTCAGGCATCAGGCTCCGATGGCTCGGCCACGTGTTCCGCATGCCAGCCAACCGACTCCCTTGACTTGCGTTGTTTTGCGCGCAGGGAGTGTGGATGAAAGAAGAGGAGAGGTGGCCAAGCGATGATTTGGTCGAGAGGAATGAAGGCCCTCACTTCGGAGCTGGCCTTGGTTGGAGCGTCCCGGCTCCTTGGTTGGGGTTCGAAAGACAATGAACACGTTTGGCTGGATACACTTATTGATATGTCTAATAGCCGACCTCAGTGGTGTTCGTGCTTTGTGTTTCTTTGTCCCACCCATCCCTCTTACCCTCTCTTCCAACGACGATCTCACTCTTTAGCCCTTTGTAATTTTGCACAGTAAATTATTTTTTCTGCTGCATAGTAGCTTGCACTAGCTTATCGGAACGATGCCCATCCGTTACCGGTAGGTCAGCTAGCTTGCACCTGTGGCATTTTATTCCCTTTTTTCTTTTAGTTAATGCGACACAGTAGCTGCGGTTTTCCCACCTCCAGCTAACGTGTAAAGTGTGTGGGTGTGAGTTGGAGCATTGCTGCCTGCGCTACGTCGTCGTAGTTGCATCCAAAGAAGTATGAGAGTTTAGAATCATTCCACTATATAAAGATTATATAAGGAAAGAGTGGTATGAAAATTGGTAAAACGCCCAAAACATCACGAAGTTTGGATAATGTTTCACCGCAGAGCAAGGTGAGAGGATAGCGATTTGCGTAATAGTTGCACACTAGGTTGCACACCACCGGACACCATTCACCGACAGCTATTATATCAGCAGAATCCTGCTGATAGTTCCCACAGCGTTGGAGTAAATAAGGAAATGTGTACATTTCGTTATTGTACATTCATTGCAGATGCTGTGGAGTGGACAAGAAATGTTGGTGCGTCCAGCTGGAATCTCGAAGTTCGTAAGCAGAGACGTGTCCTCAGCCAGAATGCTTGCTAAGATCCAAGCTCATGTATTCGCTGTAATGCTCTCAGCATGAAGAACCTATGGGTGCCCGCACGGAACATCAGGTGTCAAATGTTTGAACACACGTCATACTGAGTGGCCTTCGAATATGGATAAATGTAAAACCATGTAGGCAACGATTGTCGATTACACTCTGAGGCCTGGTTAGGGTACCGGCTCCCTCCCCCATTACTTCCTCGAGTGAGTATGGCGTCCGTTAGCATTCCTTGTACATAACTTCGTAATTTCTAGTAAACCTCAAAGGGTTAGAATGTAATTGTTGGGCCGAGACCATGGAATGAATCCAAAGGGAATGAAGGCAAACGGGCTGCTTATTTTTGGGGTGAATAGAACTCAACATTGAATTTGTCTACATTCACGCTTTAAACTGCTTCTTGGAGCTATTACTGCATGGTTTCGACATCTAGCAACTTATCCACGGTGGTCGTTGCCATCCCTCGTAACTCAGTGGTCTCAACCACGTACTGGCACCAGTCGAGTTGCGGGTTCGAGCCATGCCAGGTTCATATGGAATGCGCACTGCTGACGATTCCCGAAAGAAGACAATGTTCTATATAGTGCTTTTCCGGGCGTGATAGCTGTCTGAGTAAGTCTAGATGTGACGTAATTCTACCGATGTTTTAAAAGTCTCAAAAGCTCGCGGCAATTGTGATTGCCCAAAACCGCTATTAATACAAATTGCTCAATCGCGAGATCACAGTTGTTATTTCTAGTGAGAGTCGTTTAGCAGGAACCCTCACTTTCCATCCAGTGTCTGAATTTTGTTAAGCCAAGGACGTGAAAATGACAGTGAAGAGAATCTAAATGCTGGTAAGTAGATGGTTTTGACTAGACAGCATACTTCATAGCAACAGCTGAAATGGTCAGAAAAATGTTTGCATTGAATAGACATATCTTCGTTGGGAAAACGATAAATATTTTGACGCCAGCTTCCTGGATTCCGCCATACTAGATAATGAACAATTTCATAGCCTGACAGTTTTAAAGGTCTTATTGCCGAACAACCAGAGAAAACCTCACCGTAAACGACGAAACACATTTTCATGCAACAATGAGCTGAGCAAGCTGAGTGCAGTTCGTTTTCGCGCAGTAAATAGCTGAGCATGTTTAGTGCCTAAGTAATAAAGTTTCACTTCTTCCCAGGACTGTAACGTTAATTTGTTGGTAAATTCAAGTGCATGAATGAATGTGATATCGCAGACATGATGCTCTAGGTATGATAGATCAAGAGGAAATATTTGCAAAATATGTTCATGTATGTAGCATCATTAGTACAATTTGGAAAACGCACATGGTTGTCGTAGCTAATTATTTTATCAACTTCTCTGCACATGTTCTTTCGAAGCAGACGAAAAAGTGACAAATACTATAAGAGCTTAGTTGCGACATTCAAAGTCTAGCGAAATCCTGTTGTACCATTGTGCTTGAAGAGACCAAGAAGTTAATGTGCAGCCCGCATACCCGCCCAAAGAGACAAGTTATATTTCGTCTGCCGAAAGCACAAATACTCCATGTGCATCTAATTCTACTATAAATTCGCCTATTTGCCACTATCATCTAACAGTACAATTAGCATCAGGCATAGTTATCTAAACTCCTTGTTTTGCAGGTTTGTCTTCAAATCTGTGGTTGGACTGGGGCATATGGTTCAAACTGGCGTTACCGGGGCTGATCATGGTGGCAATGGAGTGGACAATTTTCGAACTTGGAACCGTCATTGCAGGTCAGCCAATGCTGAATCCTCTATCTTTACCATTAGTTAATATTTGATACTTGGTTCTCTTCGAAATAACCACAACTACTTTGGGTCACAAGAAACAAACCTTAAGATGATCATGCTATTTGAAATAAGCATTTGTTATGTATGCATACCATAGTTAAATATGCTCAAAATTTGTAGCGCTAAGTTAAGTAAAATAAGGGGAAAACCCTGCTAGGCATCTGAGTTAGCCATCACAGGCATTTCCTAAGCAATCTTGATGTTTCCCGCAAGTTACGTTGTGAGCGTTGTCAAGTTCGAATTCTGGTAATAACTAAGCAAAAGAAGCTGAGTTAAAAAAGCAAGATTCAGGACCACTTTGAATGAAAGTTTGTGCATGTCATTGCATTTAATGCAAGGATGGCAATGCACGTTTTTGCCAATAAACCTTCTTTATTTCCACATATCATTTTCTAAATTTTATGTGGATCCCTCCCGTGATGATGCCAGCGATCTTATTAAGATACAGAGATATACATATTGTAAAAACAGACGGAAAAATATTAATCGTGTTGCTGACAAGAAACAATGTTATCTAAACCGAGGAACCGAATTGTTTCACAATTGCTAAGGGACAAATCAAAAGGTTAGCTTGAAAGTTTGTTCAGGTAGTAATAAAGGCAGTCTGTCCTTCACAGAAGACCATGTTGTATAAGACCTTAATATTCTACCTCACCTGTATGGCTTTAACGAACGGATAACCATGTGCATTTATCGTGCAGGATGTTTGACTGTTGAGAAATTAGCGACTACCGATGAAAATCACAAGGTTGTAAACATTACATTGCTCGAATCAAGTGTAGAGCATGTGCTCGGGGAATCATTATGATATTTAGATGTCAAATTGCGCAAACACTGAAATTCGTCAACAGACGATTGTAGCGCTTCGAAAAATTTTTACTTAGGGCCGTTTGATGTAACCAATGTTCAATAAATATCTTCATATGAATCCATTTACGGTTATTTAATATGATCTTACCATTCAGTTTCAACAAATTAATCTATATGATATGCCACACTGAACAGGATTCCTTACAGATAATGTTTGGATAGATTCATGTATGTGCGCTGACATGCAAGTTAAAAATTAAAGGCCGGTATTATCAGCACAGGTGCTGCGTTTACAGATATTGTACAGCCTGCGCTCTGGAAGTATGTGTTAAATAATATGGTGTGTATGAGCTCGCCCTGCAAGTTATTATGCTTGGAGAATAATTGTAAACATAAATGATGGATATTTTCTGCGTTATTGTACCCGACTACTTTTACACGTTTAGAATATACAGTTTTCACAGGAAACAATTTCCGATGCTCTAGTCCGGTTCTCAGATAATTAATGAGTTCCATCAAAAAATCCTACACACAACTTTGGCTAATGGAAGGCAGGATAATTTTGCGTGAACTCATGATTTTAAAAGCCAACGAAGACACTCGCAGTGTTCGCAAATTGTATAGCAGTGGAAGATAAATCGAGCTAGCTCGCAATTACCCTAGAGTCACAACAGTGCCTCCGAACCAACGTCATAAAAATAATGAAGTGGCATTATCTCCAAAAGTGTGAGACACAGTGGAATAATGGGAGATCGATGTTACGGCTAAAATTGCATTGGTTAACAAATCCGTTGAGTGGTAATAATTCAGCAAGGGAAATATAATGATTATTTGAATAGCGCTTTTAAACAATCGCCATAGTATTACATTGCGGCTTACGTACAAGAGCCGAGATGTTCGGCAGGTAATATGCGTAAATCCAGCCGCTTGGAATTTTTGTAACACACCGTTTATTGTCGTTATATGGACTCCGGATAGCATAAATATAAAATAAAGTACAAAGGGGACAACGATTTTTTCAGTCATTATTAAACGCTGTTTGGCTGGGTGCAGAGACAAGCTGGAAGAGCGTTCAGCAGCTCTATGGCAGGGTTTGATCATTTTGTACTGTGGGATGGAATAAAACAGAAGGATGTTCTAGTTGCCGGATGCTGCTGTGAAACGAATTTTCTAGAGTTTTCTAAGATAAACCTATATGAAAGGCTAAATACATGGATATATAACCACTAGTTCGAGTGAGGTAATAGAACTATCCGTCGAAATGTCTCCTGAGGACCCCACTTCCATGCAATCCAGTGCTTGAAATGGTTTTTACTTTCGGCCGTGTAAGCCATCATATTTAGTACACATCCGCCTACTACTACAGGAAATCGTCTTAGTTTGGCCAACAATGAAAAAGACAACATAGAATGACACAAAAGAATGATTGCAATAATAATAATGAATGTATGAGGGAGATTAGGCCCCGGTTAATAATAGACAAACAAAACCAGACGAACAAGTTGCTCAGCCATGTGTCCCACATTGCAGGATAATTTGATGGAGAAATCAGGTGCTTTTACGCTGCAGTAGTTAATATCTACCGTGAATGATTTGTAATTGGTAAGGAGGAGGATGAGGATTATCCAAGATTGCTGTTTAGCGCCTTTGGGGGTGGGCCGATTTGCTGGTTGAGTGTCTCACTGGTGAAAGCAAGATCGTTTAGCTACAATTGGTGAATGGTGCAATGAAGGGAATAACAATTTTTCATCTACTTGACCTGCTGTTAGCACCTATTCTGGCGACTGAGCGAACACGAATTATGGGCTAGATACTTTGTGACAGTTCAAGTAGAGTTGAGTATTCATTTATTGACACCGCCACATAAAAGCAAAACCATTTGTTTGCTGATAATGCTTACAAGGTTGAGTCAATATTTGAGTCCGCCTGGAGGAAATGAATTCATTTGCCGAATTTCAGTGAATACTTGCTCACCCAAGAGGAAGTGGGTGTTTGACATTTCTTTTAACCTTCATCGGCCGAACGCTGAATGTAGCAAACAATCACATGCACAGAACAAGGTTGCATCGCAACAACTACGGTGATAGTAAAAGTATACAGCTACTCAAATTGGGCAAGCCTCAGTTAGTCAGGATCAGGGCATATCGCCGTCGAGAACAGAATGCAACTACACAATGAGGAGGAAACTACTGTTCAAAACAAACAGATAGAATAAAATAGAAGCCACAATAGACGTCTGCAAACATTAGCAAAGCACTTGCCAATCACAGAGTGAGGAGTGAGTAATTAACAAAATGCACCCATACAAGTAAACAGCGTATCAAATTTGTTGACCTGACCATATTTAGAGAAAGTGGTAGCCAATTTAGAACTTCACTTAGTTACAACTTCACTTAATGCAGGAGCGTCTGTTACCGATGAAACAAAATTAAATGAGGTCACATTTCGTCACTAAGGTAATGAAGGTGTAGATCAGATATGAATCACTGGACAAGGGTGTGAGCGTAAAGATATATGAATATTTACTAAGGTTAGTGTATGAGAGGAGGTATGAGGATGATCATAATATCCGGGCCTTTTGAAAACATGGTTCGGTGCACGAGTGGTCCTCGCAACCACGATGAGAGTTCATTTAAATGCTCGGAAAATTACAGCACAAGTGTTAAGCGATGGCAAGTTTTAGATCAATTTTCACTCATACAAGACTCTGCTACATTGCTCTATATCGTTATAGAATATGTAACGAATTCGATATAACAACTTATGTTGCGGACGAACGGGGCCGAACTGAAACTGGTGCACACCATGAGTACGAGTATTGCGACGTGAACACGTGACGTGATTGCTCCGAGGAGCCAAAGAAGAACAGCGAGATCGGCAAGAAGCTTTACTCGGACCACTAGACCGCACAAAATGACAAACAGATGTACATAAAAAACGGTATTCAGTCAAAACAGAATGTATCGTATCGGCAAGAAGGTGGATCAACGGGATCCCACAAACTAACAATAATTAAGGCAGCCAAAATATAGTCCAAGAAAAGTAAGCTTAAATCGATCACCTCGGCTCCAAATTTGTTACAAAACCACCCGAGAAAAATTGCTGGGTATTTGCAGAAACTTATTATCCTGTTTGAAAGAACCAGGAGGATAGCAAAGGAGAAAATATTTAGTTTGGCGAGGACATATAACATTTCGGGTTAAGCCATCGAAGTATGGGCAAATAGCCTGATTAACAACAACAGGATCATTTTGTGATTATTGTTTAAGATGTCATCAACGACAGCGGTTCAGCCAAAGCCCATGATTGGATGCAGATCTAGTATTTCGTTGTTTCTAGTAGTAGAAGCAACATGCTCCGCGCAACTAAGTGAATGGTTATGGGTGCAAGCCACTTGTGTTTAATCTCTTTGAGTTCTGTCCTTCATGGGACTGGCGAATGTTTATTACCGGCAAATTCCAGTATGATGGAACGGTTCAGTGGTGTTTTGCATGCAATTTGGTTTTCTGTTACTTGGAGGCTTCTGTGAGAAATCTCGGAGCAACTGAAACGATGTGAATTTGTTGGTTGTCACCATCTTATATGAGGTATTATTGCTGGCTGCGAACAGGGAAATTTTAGTAGCTCTGGTTAACTTGACTGTGTATATCATGCGGTTGCCTTCAGGATTGTGTACATTACTCACTGCTACTTTGTCTGTAGCGGGCGTGCACTGCAAAACTGACGCGCGAAAATTATAGGGTCTAGAAGCCCCAGGGTATCAGTGATTCACTGCTTAACTGGTTTAAGTCATCGAATTTAATTATCGCACCTGCAGTAATCGTTACTCTGCCTTTTACTGAACAGCAAAGTAATTTTGATTCTCCGCTTTATCCAGGAACCCTCAGTGGACAGCAATTATCCTCACAGATAATTCTTTTCAACACTGAGACTATACTTGTAATGCTAGTAAGTTATACTTCTTAACTTAATTATTCTTGAACAAGAATTATTTGGCCAGTTAACATTGGACTCGTATTTTCATAAAAATAGTCATCAAAATTCCTTTAATCGAGTTTAATATTCTGTATTTTATACCAGAAAATGCAGCCACCTTAACAATTTTTCGAGTAATAATCGGTTTTCTGGCCTGTACCGCAGTCACGTGGATTAGGTTGCTAAATGAACAGCGCATAAAATTCCTCTTTTTCTTGGACGGAAACTTGAGCGCCAGTCATTGGTTTTATCAAATTAGCATCACTATAAAATGTAGCTTTCTGTTTTTGAGCCTAATTCATATAGCCCTATAGCGGAGCCTACACAAAATTCCGCTGGAAAACGTGTGGTAAACATATTGTTCGGATCGCTCGAAGCATGCTTTGTATATTGCGAGGTTCTACGGGGATATTTGCAAAGTTCCGATATCATACTCTAGCAACGTTTTGAAAAATCAGAACCCTTGAGCACGAATTTAAGTTGGCTGCTGGGCGAGTAGATATCACCAGCTTCAAATCGTGCCCACATAACATTGCTAGATGAGAACACACGGTCTAAATACATAATTGGTATAAAATATCTCCAAGTAGCTCCGAACAAATTATACTCTCCTAACCATACAAGTAACATTACAGCAGGTTGTATTTAGCGCCATTAGATATGTCGATAAGAAGAAAACTCATGTAAATGATGATACCGCCTAGCGCTTAGCCAATCTGGATTAAATATCTTGCAAATGCCTTAATAAACATTAATGTGTCACAATATTTGGGCAATAAATAATTGAATAACTTTTATTCCGTACCACGTCATGCATTGACTTCAAGCGGAAAGGTGCAAGAGCTTGAGTTAATTTGGTATATGTGCGCTAATCAACAAAGTCCAGGTGCGCTCCATTTATTCCCGTTATCTTCCCGGGTTAACATGTACATTCTTTTTTGTACAGGTACCACTAGGTGTTGGAATGGCCACCAATGTTCGTGTTGGTCAGTTTCTCGGTGCTGGATCTGCAGTAGGTCCAAAATCGGTCATATCCGTCGCATTGGTAACAGTTTGTAAGCCACCCATTTTGTTCCATTGACCATCTGCTTGCCGTAGGGCTCCTGACCTCGATGTTCGCAACGGGTGTGATATTGCTAAAATGGCAAATTCCAAAAGCGTTCACCTCAGACAGGTAAGTGTGCAACGATGTTCATTGTCTTAATATCATGCTGTTGATTTGCGGTTTACAACACTAAGAAATAATACCATGCTGGACGTATGTAATTGTTTATTTCCTTTCAGTGCCGTCATAGAATTAGCTGCCAATTTGTTGCCCATAATCGCCGCCTTCCAATTTTTTGAAGCAACATCGGTGCGTTTGTCCTTCTCCTTATTATTGCTGACGTCATAAATGTCGTATCTGCATTGATTTTTATTAGCTTTTTTGTAGAAAACCCAAAAAAATTTGTTTGGAATAAATATCGTAAACAAAACAGAATTATTTTTATCCACAAACTTTACATTATTGAATGGGAAATTAGCGTTTTTCCGCATAAATTTTGAAGACAATTAAATGTACATGTCTTAGTTTCTGAAAACCAATTGTGATTCTTGTGATAATTGCACCAACAATTCACGCAATCAGGTTTTATATGCCGACGGCTTACACTGGCCACTGAACTGACAGCTTTGCAAACTTACCTCTCGGCATCTGCTCCCCTTTGGTTTCGGTTTAAACCGTTGTCACATTACGTAGACACTTTGAAAGCTTTTACCTTACGTCACGTAATCTAAGTGAATAGCACAATCATAAACATTTGCTCTCGTACGCTTATTCATCTTATTGTCCAGAATTGCTGCATGAAGTATTTGCTAGCTGAAGGAGTAAAATTAGAACGAATAATGTTACTTGTATAGGCGAAGCTCTGCAAACAGGATGCATGACTCAAACTGCCTCAAATAATTCATAGCGTGTTATGAGGGGTACGGTATCTACAGAAATTATAGATGCTGATTAGCAACGCTGGAAAATGCGCTGTTTTGCTCTTTGTTTAAATTGCACATTGCTGAATATAAGCTAGAAGGCAAAAAATAAATTTAATATCATGTTTTGTTACATTTGACCTACTCAGAGTGTGTGCATGGGAGCTATTCGTGGAGCAGGTTTACAATTCATCGGTGCGATCACGTGCTTTTGCTGCCAGTATTTGTTGGGAGCATCGACCGCAGTGCTGCTTGTATTTCTAGCTAAATACGGACTAGAAGGTACGTTGAGTCACTTTTTTTCATATTAACCTACTTTTCCGATACTATTAAGAATTTCATTAGTCCGTCCGGATACTAAATATATATTAGGCATTAGTTAGTTTTAATGAAAGCATAATATACCAGCTGGAAGCGAAGTAGAAAAACTTGGTCATGTGACCCATTATAAGTATTACAGGTACAGATGAAAACATTTCGCTCGTAAAAGGTGTTACTTGGCGTGTAGTGCGTGCAAGTAAAACGATCACTACATCTAAATTGTTTAGCGACTTAACTTTCGCTTTCATGTTCCCCACATCGATAAAGTGGCATTCTAGCTGTTTATGTAATTAGGTTTCCTTTTTTGTCACTATTCTCATCGCACACTCGTGTGCTAACACCCAATCAATCCAGATAAACCAGCGCAAAACGAAGCAGCTGTCGGACATTCTGTGTCCCTCATCGCTCATTTGTTTACTTACACCTCAGCGCCAAATACGAGCAAACTTTCACAGGCTTAAACCTACCCCGCAAGCCATGTCGCACCGAAAGAGTGCTAAAGCCCTGTCGACATTAAAACCCCTGCCTTTGCAGCGGGATAATATAGACAATGTTAACCTGAAAGGCCACAAGCAAAAGACAAGCAACTCAATGTGATTTAATGATCAAACTAAATAGTCCTAACAATAAACTTACTATAAGCAGTTATTTAATTCCCTAATAGAGACGAACAAGGTTAGACTGTTTTAATTGCGTCATAATAGCGCATTGTACCTGGGTTACACACAGTAAAAGCAGTAAAAGCTATACACTAGTTGACCAGATCACATGTGCTTTAGTGCACAAGCTATGGTTATCTCCTTGTTAGAGTTATAATAAGAAAATTTCCGGAAAGAGGAGAGGTTCTTGTCGAAGGTTAAACAAATAATAAAGACAAATTTCGCTTCTATACAGTAACGCGGACAAACACTAAACATTGTCCCCTACAACGGGCTCCATATTAAAACAAGGAGGAATACTGTGCTGCATGTTAAAAATATTTCACTATTGTCTTTGGATTTCATTACCACCAAGGGCCCAAATACGTTTTAAACATCCACCGCCAGTCCGATTAGAATAGATGGGAATAGGGACTCGTCAACAATCGGAACTGTTAAGATATTTCAGAAGGATGTCGGCACTAGTGTTGGCTTGATTGAACTTGCTACCAAATGCAACAGAATACTTGGGGATTCAATTATTTTGATTGGACTAATATATACATAAAACGCGGTCCTGTACTTAAACAGCCCCAACTGATTTTAGTTATTAAATTTGTAAGCGATAAAACGATTAGGAACGGTTGAGATATACGCGCACTCACCGATTGTACAAATTCAAGGCCGGAACGGACTGCTAATCACCGGAAACGAATTCACAGGCCGAAGCCGATTCACAATCAAGGTGTTAACTCAAAAGCCAAAGTAGGTTGGCCTACAGTGCTATGGAAAACGAATAAATGCAGAAAAGTGAAAACTGCAAACGGTCTCCCCAAACAAAATTACGCATACACCTCTGCGGTCCATACTGCAACAAACCGACCAAGACGATAATCGAGGCTAAACAATGAGTAACAAAATGAAAGAAACCAGTTTAAAGCACAGTTGCCTTGAAATATAGCAGTGATTGGCCGGCAAAAACGTGTCCATAATAAAGGTGAGCCCGACGATTGATCGATATTAGATAGACAAGCAAATTTTGTCTCACTAGTCAGACCAATGAGACTGGCTGTGTCCGTTGTAGTCTGATACTAGCTATCGGTAATTCAGTCATGGCATGTCCTGAATACAGAGTATAATGGGGCAGTCGATTTTAGCGTTTAACCATATGGTGGGCTGTGTAAGCAAAAGCAAGCAGCTAATCAAACCTCATGGTATGGATACAAAAGTAAAGTTCATATGCGACTCAAAAGCAGCCAGTGTTACTAGTTCAATGATAGGGTGTTTGTAAGGGACAATGGGACCCATGCGCCGCAAGGACTGAACAAATTGTTTTGTTCGACACAATGCTTGCCACATTAGGTCCGGATTTCCCGAGGATTTTGATGCATCCTTAGTTGGAGCACCCTATCCCCGTTCCATCCACGATGGTACGCTAAAGGACTTACATCAGCACAGCTGCAACCCCCAATGTTATATTGTGCTCTTAGTGTTCCTTCCTGCAGCGCAGAATCGAAGACCTACCTCCCACCTGCGGAGAGCAAAAATCAGAGAATACACCCATGTTTGAGCTGCGTTATTCCAACAAACATATTTTACGAACATCCCACTTAAGTACACAATGCTTTATCCTGTCAGTCATTCCATTTATAAATGTATCTCTCGAAGTGATGCAGCTTTGTTCTCCACTAAAATTCCGCATACCACGCGAGACAGCTTTGGAGGCGTGTAACTCCAGGCGTGCAGCCCTGAAATTCCGGCACGGATGGTACCATATCTTTCGTGATTGTAACAGTCTTAGGTATATCCTAACGCGTCTTTTCCAGTAGAACGGCACTTTACTTGTCTTTGACAACCAGCATATCCCTCGATGCTTAACTCAGTTTACAAACCTGACACTTTGAGTCGAATGATGGACAAAGCATTTGGAGTTGGAGCTGGTCTTTCTGTACAGTCTGAAGATAAACAAACAGTTTTTGTTAATAATACCCACCGATTTAAATAACACTGTAAGCAGCTACATATTCCCCGTCTCTCTCCTGCCGACCATTTCATCTGACTTGAATAGTGCTACCGGCACCATCGCCCAACCGACAGGTTTAAGGGAGAAATCATCAGAGCTGGGGGAGATTCGTGCGTCCTAGTAATAAGTACTGATATGAGCAACACCTTTGGATCATTCTAGAATATCCACTACGTATTGTTGCCATGGTGAACATGGTAATCGGCAACCGCAATTCTTTCCAAACCATAACCTATCTGCATACGCTTGTCACCTACTGCAACGTTTTGAATAAACAAAGGCCCATTTACAACCAGGAGAAGCGTGATGCCTAGCAATACGGACAACGGACAGGCCGTTGACGCTGTGAACAGCGGAAATGTTATTCACAACAACACGCACGGAGCCAGAGGCCCGAAGGTTGCAATCGTAGGTGTGCCTGTTGAGATAGACGTATTCCTCATCCTATGTATGGTGATCCGGAGCGCACCGTTTCAACTCCACAGTCCTTGTATTTATACCAAGGTATACTTCCGTGTGCACTCTCAAATGCTCAACTGTGTTGACTCTGGTGCATCGGCGAATTAAACCGCATTCATTTGATAATTCATCAGCGTGACGAATTAGATATTGATTCTCTTGATGGTGCGCTTCCCTTCAGTTTTATGGTTCTCCATGCGGATATCCTAAACTATGCACGTATCTGATGCCTGAGTGCAATCTGTAACGGGTTGCGAATACGTTGTGTCCTTTAACCGCTTACTGGTTATGAAGGTTTCTTTAGGAGGGTGAACGAGTTCCTCAGGTCTGACAGTTAGAGTCCTCGCATATTACAGTTTCGGCCCAATGTGTTTCATTTTCCAAATTCCCTCAGGCAGAAGATTCACTAATACAATCTGTGTATGTATGACATACGAAAGAAGTGTAGCTAGCGCCATGGAGAGCACAACACTAAGACAAGGTGGGAAGTGGATTTGAGCACAGTGTGCTTCACTTCTGTTAGTGAACCCAATGAGGGGATCTCATTACTCGAAGATGCTGCGATTTTGTGAGACGCATTTTCAGCAAACGAATACATGCAATAACCAACCACTGGGGTGACTACGATTTTGCCGTCAACCAGATTCATGAAATAATTTGTCAGGTTGTGGAACAATGTAGCCTGACTTAAAAGTACATTAAGGGACAACCTTATGCGCAAGCGCAGCCAGCCGAAACCCAGACCAAATCAGGGTCAAATTCATAGGCAACACGCAACATCAATCGATGAAAAACAACCAGGTGTTCAGCAACACCAAAATTCCTATTACTTAGTGGGACCTTGATGTCATGACCATGATCACGACCGCCTCCAATGAGGTTAAATTTGAACTCCCGTAGGTTGTGCCAAATCATTGGTCCTAGTAACATGAATTAAGATATCTAGCGCACGCGAATTTTCGAAACGCATACTGCGTTACTTGATTT